GTAACAGTCATTGTAATATTAATTTGTACTGTTTGCTAACTTAAAATTTCATTTTCTATAAATATAATGTTTTACGAATTATACAATGTATTTGTTTTTATTAGATTATTGGAGTTAATACTATCTCCACTACATCTTACAACATTTTCAATTTTTCTTGGTAAATAATTTTATTTCAAAATCAATAGTTTCATGGACAGAACCTTCTGCGTCGACATCGGAAACAACTACACAGAATTCATTTCAGTCTCATTTTAAAAGTAATTGATACTGTAAACATTTAAGTATCAATGTACATTTTTATTGAAATATAACTTTACTATTTTTACATATATAGTTGCCCAGAAAGACCAAGTAATAGTCAACCATTTGATAATGATGTACACATAACAATTTGCGTTTTACTGAAAATGTTATTAATATTTATGAAAATAAGTTCATTGAAAGTCTAGGTAAAGTAGCAGAATGGAATCACTAGATAATACAGAGGTCCTAAAATTACAAAATAAATCCGATTAGAGCACAAATGGCAAATAATCTTGTACGAATAGTACGATGTTTCATCGGTATTTGTATAGATTACTTTTTTAATACAAAATTCAAACTGATTCCAAAATTTATGTTGTGTATTAGGCATGTTTCATATTCTTAATTTAAAGATAACAATTCCTGATGTGATAATGCCTACATATTACGGCCAATATTACTGCATAAGTAAAGTACAGTACGTGGCCTAGAAAAAATAAATAAAAAAGAATTAGATAAAAAATAATAAAAAGTGAAAGAACTTCAAAATTCTACATTACGATACATAGTGAAAAATTAAGAAATATCAAAAACAGTGTATTAGTAATAGAGAAAGCAACAGAACAGCAACAAAATCAACGATCATGTCAATTTCCGGTATAAGAAATATTTGATAATAAAACCGTTATTCCGTTTATTAAAAAAAGGGAAGCACGTAGCATTGTGAAGAGTCCTTGGAAAATCCAACAAAGTTCCGTTATATAGCATACTCATACATTTAACATATTCTCTTATTTGAGCATAAAATAAATTTAGTTTATACTGCGTTTCTTATTAATATCACAATTAGTTATATATTTTATAAAAATATTGTAGTGGTGCTATTTTTTAAAATTTTATAATTAATATTTAGGTACTGGCAATTATTCATAATTATAAAAAAATTTTATTGACGTTTCGTGTGGCAGAGGTCGTTTTCAAAACTTTTTTGTAATAAACGTATAAAAGTTATATATTAGATAAAGACGAAGAGCTAAATTGAAATTCATTTAAACACAAATTAGATTTATATTCTTTAAAATAACCCTGGTTGGATTATGCACTCAATCGGTGTGTTCCCCAAATGCTCAGTAAAAATAATTATCAAAGGCAAAATATGAAAAGCCGGCAAAGAATTGGCTTATTGGTTTTTAGCAAAACTATATAATTAATAATAAAAAACTGTCAAGAAAATAAAATCAAAATTAACTAGTTAAATTAAAAGCGTAATATTTAATTTCGACAAAAAGGATAGAACAAACCTAATTATTAAAAAAAAATATACTTAAAAGGTGCATAACAATCGAGTTATGTAGGTACGTCGGAAACTGAGAAAAATAGCAAAATAATATCAGGAAAAATGGTGCGCGACGAAATACTTTTTTGTTCCACGCTGTGTCTAAATAGGTACTCAATATTAAATAATGTAATGCCCATATTTACTTCCAACTAATATATTATAGTAAGGGTTTTTAAATTTTGTATTTGTCACATATTATACATTGTTTATCATGTTGCAAACATTATAGCAGATCTACGAAACCAATGAAGATTTACTTATTTTCATAATTATCTCCTATCTTCACTGCAGGGAAAATAAAAACAGAAAAACTCGATAAACCAACTCGATGGTTGCCTATTAATGCCAAAAATAAAAACAATATAAAGTTGCAAAAGTATCAAAGATTTAATAGAGAATAAAAGTATAATTAATTTTGAAATAAAGAGTAAGAGATGCTGCAAAATTTAACAAAATAATGCTTATTAGGTAATAAATAACATGCAATATAAATATAATTTAGCCATTCGTAAGCATACGCATATAATAAAAACGATCGACAAAAAATATAGCGAAAGAAGGAGAATGCCACAGTCTTGACTTACTTGTCTCTATAGAATATTTTAAAAAATATCTATTTGCTTTTTTAATATGGTTTATATACCTTTTATTAGATAGGTAATGACCATAATCAACTCCTATGTATATTTTATTGGGATCTGTAAATATGAATTATCTATGAGAGCAGAATACTATTATTTCGTTTGGCTCTATATTTTGGTATTTGGAATTATCAAATCTTTTCGTTTAAATTGAAGTAACACTGGGATGGAGGCATATCAAAACTGTGTAATCGTATTTTTTGTTAAATTATCAAGTAGATATATATTGCTTTTCGTATCAAAAGCTTTTTTATTCAAAAACTTCAAAAGCTTTGTTTTTGTACTGATTCTAAAATATTTCACAAAGTAGTTAGCTGGATATCCTTTACAATTGAAAACCAAAAAAGAAAAACAAATCTTGGAACACTGATGATGCCATGTTATCGAGGTAATCTATTTTAGCACCTTTATTATACCATAAAAAGATGAAATTAGGACATTGATTACCCAAATGAGGTTGTGGGTTAAAATTATAATCTGTATTAAATATATATTAAACGTATATTTCGAAAATATTACTAGTTTTTGCTGGCAAACTCACTCAATGCATAAGAAGCAAATACGGAAAGTATCGAAGGAAGGCACTGCGAAATATCATTGTTTAATTATGAATATTTAACCGCTTTTAATTTATTTTGTTTTTATTAAAATCTTGAGCCAATATTACTTTGATTGGTTTTTGGGTTGCGTTATTGAGTATGCAACATGTAGAGGAAAGCGGAAATACAGATGGCGAAAAAGTATATTAGATATTTGACTTTCGACGATTGACTGTCTAGAAACAAAAATATAATTTTTTTTAGTGCCAACTATTTACAGAATTTACAGAGTTACAGAACAGTTGTGTACAGTTTTATCAGAAATTTTAATTAATGCGAAGAGAGAGTGTATAATTTTACAAAAAGGGCATTTATTAATAAAACATAGATAGCTACTAGCAATTCATAAAACTATTTGGTAAAGGTTATTGACAAAAAAAAAACTAAGTTAAGACAACCAAAGAAAGAGAAAACTAAATGTAGATTTGAAGTCCAGATAAATATTTTTAAAAACCTAAATAAAACAAACCCAAAATGTAGTGAAAATATTGAAATTATGGTTTAGTTGGAAAATATACCGTTATACTTAACTTCAGTAAGATCTGAATATAAAGAACTAAATACATTACTAAATAAAAAACGTATCAACTTCATTTTAATATTGTTCTGAAGTTATTTTCTTGTGGCATTTTAAAGTAATTAATATTTAAATGGGAACTTTATTTTAACTTTAAAATGATTTTCGAGTTAGATAGATAGAAAAAGATAAATAGATTAAGTAAGGAAGTTGGTTGCGGTATTGGCTTTTCGTAAAATTTGAGTATCCAACAATATGTAACTAGCTATATTACAAAAGAAGATACCTACTTTGGAAGATATCTATTTGTTGAGAAAACTTTTTTATTTGCACAAAATATCATGATATAAAAACCACGGTAAACTGTAAGCTAAAAAAACTTCGACCATTTAATACATTTAGTACAGTTCCATCATTAATTGAGGAATCTTAAAGACAAAACCAAAAATGTACACAACCTGTGAAAATCAAAGAAGATTCACTAGATATAGGTCATATAGAGATAATGAAACTTGGTTAACTTGGTAAAATGTTTGATGAAGTCTAGGTTTGGTAGATGCAGATAAAGAAAACAAAAGAGCGAAAAGAAAACTAATAGTGTAATAATTATTATTTATGATCATTATCGGGTAAGGTAAAAGCTTCAAATAAGTTGTTTGAACAGGAAATTCCAATACATGCAAAAACAGAAATTAATTATGTGCCTCTTAAACCATATTATTACTAATTTCTTAAATGCTTTCATGACGTGTTATCAGTGTATATCTGAAGACCTAGTACTGAAAACACAAGAGTTTGTGAAAAAATAGAATATGATTAAGCAGTCAGTTAAAATATTCTGCTTTGATAAATCTTGAAGATGATTTTCAGAATTCAACAATCCTTTAAACTAGATAATATTCAAATAAACACCCGTTAATAAATATTAGAAATATAGATAGGTATAAGAATACTCATTTATATAACTATTAAATAATACACCGTTTTCTACTATATGTGTTCAGAAATAATAAATACACAATTATTTATTGGAAAACAAAATTCAAAGAAGTCAGGAACAATCCCGAGGTATTCAAAGTAAGTATTATGAATACCACAAGTACACTAGGTCGCATATTTAGGAACATTTTCTGTAATTATCTAATATCTCTAAAATAAAATATTTAAAATCTATGTCACGTCTGGAATGAACTTAACTAGAAAACTAGAAGTAGCAGTCCAGGAAAGTATTACATCCAGAGAAATAAAAGTATAAATAGAAAGAAATAACAGAAAAACATTTGGCTTGGCGACAATTCGATGTAATTTACAAAATTGGGGAATGTAGAAGCGAGAAGAAATATTTTAAAATTATAAAAATATTAGATTCCGGGACCGTCTCATCAATTGCACTTATAGCTTATTTGAAATAATATATCGATTATGTCAAAGCTTTGCAGTCATCGGAGTTACAAATTGTCGTTCGTAATTTTCTGACGAAAGTAAGAACATTACGGAGGATTTCTAAGAAAATTCATGATATGTCACTTTCGTAAGAATATTTTTTTTATATTAGAGTTTAGGATTATAAGGGTTTACCAAAAAATTTCACGATGATTTATGTTCAAATATTGTTATAAAGGATACTTTAAAGGGATAAGATAAAACAAAACACTTACTAGAAACATACTAGGTTCCAGCACCATGTAAAAATCAGTCATCAATCAGGTTTATCGTTGAACTAAACTTCTACCCAAAATAACCATATCACAAAAAAATCACTCTAAATTCTCAAAAGATAATAAATAAACTAAAATCCACAGCCGCCACCTCAAACAATGTCCATATATCCTTTTCCGGGAAAATATTCTCCGTGAAAACTCATCGGTCACTTTCACAGTCGCAAATCAGAAACACGCGCAGATCACAACTTAACGACAATCGCGCACCAAGCTCTCAGTTTCACGGTCTGCCTGGAACTAACGCGAGTGGTCTGCGGACTTGCAATCACCGAATCCGGTGAATAGGGGGAGGTCCAGGGACGGCGCAAGCTCATGAGCTTGCTCAACCGCCGATGACATACAATTAGTTGTTCAACTTTGAGTAAGATTCTTTCGATCTATTTAGTTGGGCGACTGTTTGGAATTGGTTCTGAGCGAACATATTTAAGCGATTATGTCGACGTTTAAATGGTTAAATAGCGATAGCGGTGTGTAAATTAAAGCGGAAACGTTTCGAAATACCCGAGTAATCAATAGTTTTGATATGAGGTTGTAAAATCATTGAATTCATTTGAATTTTCTGAATATCTCCGTTCGATTGGTAATTTTTGCCAATTAATTTGATTAAAGCTGGATGTAAGGCAGTTTATTTTCTTGAACGGTTATCGATTAGTCGATACTATATACCTATGGCTTATACCTTTATGAATGAGGTACGTTTCCAAAAGTTGATTTCTTTTTATCAATTTCCCCTTGTATTGTTAATCCTTCACTGTTACGAAAGTAAGTATTGTATCTAAGCTGTAGTAAATAGCAATGACCAATTGGATATTATTTAATAAATGTTCTTGTAATTAACAAATTATTAAAGTAATTCTTAAAGTATTTCTGTCGAAAGGATTTCTTTCTTTTCGTAAAATATTTTACGTCTAGAATAGCATATGTACAAATATTTGTGGTAAAATAGTACATAACGTGCAAAACTCAGTTACCAGACGAATTTTATCAGGTACTTAAATGCACATTTAAAAGCATGTGATTACTGTATTACTCTGCAAAGTGCATTAATATTACTTAAAATAATAATTTCTGTCTAACAAAATTTATAGAATAATTCAAATACATTAATATTTGATTTGGCCTGTTAAAGTAGTTCTGAGATCGTCAAATATGTTTCATTCTCACTGAATTTGACAGGATTTTACTCCACTTTTACATCTTCGCATTTATCTATATTTTATATCTTCAATGTGCTCAATTGTGCTAATATCATCTAAAATCCCTAAAAAGTCCCAAGTAAAAAAATCTGCGTCGACTTTAGCAAATGTTTGTGAAATAGCTCATTGTTTTTTGCCTCAAGTCGTTGAGGTTCATTTCTTTTGTTTTTCAAAATTTGCAGTGAATCCCACATTACCCATCAATTTTTAAACGCGAAGATTCATTTATCACGTTTATTACGTTGTCGCTTTATACTTTTATTATAGTGGGTTGAATTTTAGAAGTAGTATTTGGCGGAAAAAATATAAATCCAACATTAGTTAATTTTTTAGTTATTATCAGTTAGATATTTTTGACATTTTGTAATACTTCTGCTTTATTAAAATTACCGATATTGGTATATTTTGGCGCGCATGGGACACTTTAAACTATTGAATAAGTGCTTTATTTGTTCCTCGTAAGAACAGACCTGTACACTTTTTTGTTGCTTTGAACGTCACTAATTTTTAAAATATTTTCGTGATTTTTTACAGTAACTACGAGCTAACTTCGTGAAATATCGAATTTGGAAGTAATGTTAACTTTTTTACAGCCTTGATCAACTTCCAAAACTTTAATTTTTTCAGATAAACTTACATACTCGATTAGACATTACAGTCGTCTGATACATTACGTTTAGACTTACAGTTTACACTTTTCACTTGTTTATTGACAACTTATGATCTTTGATGGTAATTCTAGGATAGTTTATATATGGGATTTCTGAAGTTGCCAAAATTCTATTATTAGATAAAATGTGGGATTATCGGTCAAAATTTCATAAAATCGGTTAATTTTTTTCAAGAACTCTGGGTAGTTATATATGGGGTATATATATATATATATATATATATATATATATATATATATATATATACACAGCGTGTCTACTTAAGTTACTAAAAAAAAAAAGAAAAAAAAAAAAAAGAGGTTAATCTTTGTAAATGGGTATATTTATTTAAAAAACCCTTAAAAGGGCCACATCAATAAAACAAACGTTTTCGGACTACACAGTCCATCATCAGGTTATTAAAATCGAAAATGCTAGGTCATAATGCCTGAGCCACCAAAATATTAGGGTAAAAACCCTTTAAATTACATTTAGTTATGAAATGTTGTACATTGTGTTATAAAATAACTGTGATGTTCTATATTAAATTAAATTTGACTAAAGGTAACACATGGCTCAATTGGGTTCCAGAGCCGGGTGAGAGAGAACCTCTGCACTCGGAGAAAAACGTGGAACTCTAAGTTCCACGTTGTATTTTCAAATGTCCGGAAAATAACCTACCTCTAAACAACAATTTATAATGTGCGTAATATAAGGAGCAGTAATAGAAAGGGAGAGTTGTAGCATCTTTGCAGAAATATTATCACATCCAACAGCTTCCGATTTTAACCCTAATATTAGTGATTTAATTTCATCAATAGTGGCCATTTTAAACGAGAAAGTAATATCTGGGTTGAAAATACTTGACTGGTACCATTGGGTTGTCTCAGGACAACAATTTACAGGGCTAAAAACAGATGTAAAATAGTTATTTATAGAGATAGGATCTTTAAGCTCCTGAGGGATCTCTATAACCGGTTTATTTACAATTTTGAATAACCTCATCGCTTTCCAAAGATCTTTTTTATTCAAAGAAGCAGACCGATAATTTAAATAACCACTCTTCTCCAGACGGACTGCGTTAGTAACTGCGTTTCGAAGATTTTTATAGTAACTATAGTCTAAGACGTTTTTAGTTTTCTTATATTTGGCTAAAGCAGCATTACGAGTTTTCATCATATTCTGTATTGTGGGCGTTAGCCACGGAGCAGGTGGCTTTGTAATTCTTGATTCAACATAAGGAGCATGTTTGTCAAACAGCGAAACTAACATATAATTGAAAATTCGAATTTTATTATCTATAAAATTTTCGTACAATATATTATCCCATGACATTTTTTCCAGATATGCGTTAAAAGAAGATATTGAAAAGTTTTTGTAATTTCTATATATCTTTAAAAAGTTTTTTTTGTAATTAATATCTAAATCAAATTCACAGTACACTGCTCTATGGTCAGATAGTTCATGATCTAAAACGCCGGAATGTCTAATGAGTTCACTTTTATTTGTATAAATAACATCGAGCAATGTTTGTGAACTGTTAGTTATGCGCGTAGGTTCCTCGACTAATTGAACAAAATTATAAGATTGAAAACAATAATTTATTTGATTATCTACTAGCTGATCAACATTGATATCACCAGTTAAAATAATATTATTAAATTGGGGTACTATGTGAGAAAGAGTATCATCACAATACTGTATAAAATTTAGCATCCTGCACGCCTCAGTTCTATATATAACACCGACTAACAATATTGTTTTCTGTATTTTCACAGAAATCCACATTTGTTCGATACCTAATGGACAAGGAAGGTCAGTAAGTTCTGACTTTGAAATAATTGAATCACGTACAAAAACAGCGATTCCACCACCTCTTGAACCACGGTCTTTACGAATTATTTTAAAACCCGGAATATATACACTCTGATCTGAGATATCCGAAGTCAACCAAGTTTCGGACAGGCAAACAATATCAAAGCTGTGATCATTTACCAGATCTGAGAAAACGTTAAATTTTGGAAATAAGGAACGTGTATTAAAATGAGCTAATTTAAGCTTTTTGTTAGACATACTCAATTCTAGTTTTAAGTTGCTCAATTTTACCTAATAAATAACCACAAACTGAACTGTTTGCAACATGAACTGTATCTAAATTAAGTTTGTATCTTAAGTTTAACGTTTTACAATTATTACAACACATAGTCTGACTGGTACAATCTTTCATTTCATGAGATTCAGAACATTTCGGACATATTAAATTACTAAGACAATCTTTTTTCTGGTGTCCAGCTTTACAACATTTAAAACATTTTACAATATTAAAGTGTTCACTAACATAACATTTGAGCCAGCCTATATACAGAAAACCTCTTTCAATTACCACTTTGTATAAAGCTGGTGTAACCTCCAACACGACGTTGAAACGCTCCTTAAACTTAACTTTTGTTACCATTTTTATATCATCTTCATTTACGTTAAGATCATTTAAAGTAATCAAGTCTTGTAAAAAACTTGTTTATTCCAGAGTGGCAGCATTCACGCCACGAATCATTAATCTCGGATTTAACTTCTTTGGTTCAGTAACAGAATAAGTATTTCCTAATTTTTTGGTAAGGCAGTCTTTTAATTTTTCTAAAGACATTGCGTTGCTACAGTTAATCAAAACTCCATTTTTAATCAACTTAGTACTATTGACAGTAGCTTTTGTAGAAGAAAGATTAATTTTCGATTTAATATCGCTATCAACCTGTACGTTAGCAATGTTTTGGTTCGTTGACCTTACAAGCAAAACAGAGGCACAGGCAGTTTTATTTACTTTCAAGGCAGCCGAGTAACTTTTTGCTGGCCTATCACTAATTGGCAAAAATGAGCTGGTAGAATTAGAAGGTTGTGCTTGAAAATCGTCACTTACCGTTGTTTTTGATTTAAGCAGTTTATTTGTGTATTCCAATTCAGAAACGTACTTATTTAAAACTTCCCTTTCTCGTGACAGACATTCAATCTCCTTCTCCAACACAACTTTATCACACGATAACTTATCGCACATTGGAGCAGAACAATGTCCTTTACTAACCGAACAATTACGACAATAGAACGAGTTTTTATCGACAAATACAACTTTCGAAATTGCATCAAAACACTTGACGTGCAGAACAACATCACAGGTATTACCCAAACATTTAATGTCATTTGCTGAAGTAAATTTAGCACAAAATTTACATTTGTCAGGAGGTTCACTGCTCGAACCGCCTGCCATCGTGGTCGACGAAAATTGATTTTGTTATTGAATGATTGAATTTTATTATTAATTTTACGAAAAAATTTTTTTTTATAGTTCTGCATAGTATAAAACCTAAGATGCAACCATCATATTATATCAAATTTATCAAG